TTCCTATGTATATATTTTGCCTGTTTAGTGGGATTCACTTCAGCATAGTAGGAAGAGAGAAGAGAGTGAGGTGTGGAGCCATGCTCTTCTGTTAGCTACGTAGCCTTAGCATAGAGTGACCAGCTCTCCTGATTTCCTGGGAGCTGACATGTTTCCTGAAATGCAGGGCTTTCAGTCTAAACCCAGGACAGTCTTGGACAAACAAGGACAGTTGATTACCTTACTTGGACAAGACACAACCTCACTGAGCTTTGGGGTTTTTTTTTTTATCTGTGAAGCAGGCATAATAATACCTGTCTCATGTGTTATTTTGAGGATTGGAGCTAGTGTACAGAAAGTGCCAGAAGCTATGTCTGAGATCTTCTAGATCTAAGTAGATGATAAGGATAGTAATATTAACATTCATAATTATCTGTATTTTTTTTAAAGCTCAGAGTGGTATTTCTCCAGCAGTCATTTCTGCCATCAATGCGTTTTTCAATCCTAAAGTCTGCTCAGTAAAATGGGAGTTTATTCTGGGTACGAAATGAAGATACTCTTGTTAAAAAAATTTGAGAAGTCTGAAAAATATAAAGAAAAAGTATTATTATATCCCTAACCAGAAGCAACCACTTTAAAAATTCTTTGGATCCAGGTTTACTCTTCTAAACAATTGATATATATCTTTAGGCATAAATATTTATGATCATTTCCTTAGGGAAAATTTGGAAAAGGGAGATTGCTGGATTAAAGGACAAATATTTTGAGTCTTATTTTATATTTGATACAATATTATCTTTACATTCCTCCAAAAATATAGGTTGACAGAACAAAATATGATATTTTCTATGAAAGGGGCTTGTATGTTCCTTGTCTCCACACAGGACCCAGCTTTCCCTGGAAGGCTCTCTAAGGAAGAAGTCTGGTTTCTTTTAGCCATCCCTCTGGTAGGGGTCACTAAAAGATTTCATTTTATTTGGTCCTTAGGTAGCATTTGCTTTTACTTTTGAGTATTGTGTGGTATGCACACTAACAATCATCACTGTTAGAACTTTTTTTTTTTAATCTAAATTAAATACTTTAGTGACATTTTGTCCCCATGACACAGTATTCGGGACTCAATATTAAACCAACAGGTTTATCTTCAACTCCTAATGCTTATTTTAATGCTTATTTCATATTAATTTGAGCTATTATAGAGAGAATAATCTCTTTCCTTTCTAACAGTGGATTGGTAAGTAGGAAAAATCAGTTGGGCTTCAGCTCAAGGAATGGAATCATTCAAAAGCAGTTCTGAGGCACCTGCAAAAGTCTAAGAATTGAAAAATCAAAGAAATTAGGGTCCCTGCTGAGGGTCTAGAAATATAACTGATCATTTGCATGTGTGTATCTGTGAGTGTTCATTTGTGTTTGTGAGTATGTGTGTGGTTGCGGGCACGTGTCTGGGAGCTTTGGGCCCTCACTTAGATTGGTCACAGGTTGGAGGCTAGTGAGGTCAAGGCTATTGGAGGATTGAGGATGAAGCATGTGTCAAAGCACTAAATACAGTAGAGATAATCACAAGGAATCAACACGAAAATAATGAAAGCATGTTGTGAATTCTTGTCATTGATCCTTCAAGTTCACATGGATGTTTGGCCGTGGAGTCAGGACAAGAAGTTTGGTCTTCTGATTCCAAGTACAGTGTTCTGTCCAGTGTATAGCGTCGGCTCTGAGATGCCAGGTGCTTTGGAAGAAACTGCAGCCATTGCAGTGGTTGACACTGTGTAATGTTCTATGGAGGCAGGACCGGGCTGACATTATCCTAGAAAAAGGTGAAAAAATTGGCCATGCCATGGAGATATTGATGATACCTCCTTCCTTTTGTGTCTCAAGGTGATGACAGAGGAATACTCAGTAGCCCAGAGCTTGGGATTCCCCAGGGAATTTTATGGATAACAATGTTGAGTCATATTTTGAACATATATATTATGATTTGATTCCTTCATTTATGTCTTTGCATGAGAGTCTTCAAAATGCCCCTAATCTTAGGAAATCTAAACCTAAACAGCTCAAAAGTATATAACCGAGGACAGTTTTCCGCTAACCAGTTTTGTAATCCCTTTGGTTTAAAGTTGAATGTTATGTTTTTGACATTTTTTGGTTTTAATTATCTATTTTCTGTGAGAACCAGAGTAAATCTCTCAGATCTTCCCTCTGTGCTATAAATACCACACTGTTTGGTAACTGGTCAGAGAGTTTCAGATATTATGCTTCTGAAGCTTTTCTTAGAGTTCAGGTTCAACCAAAGGTATAAAAAATGAGGCAAAGCAATGAGTTTGCCTGATTTCTAAGGACTCTGGGTCTTTTCTGGCATACGACAAGTTTCTGTATTTTGACTGTGGGGCCCAGGCTTGGCTAAGCTAAATACCACTGCTCTGGTTATATGAAGATGTTTAGAGGTAGCTGCATGACTCAAATAGTCCAATAATTTTATTAGGATTTTATTTTCTCCTACAGATATCAGGGAGGAGATACATCTTTTTGGCAAGGTACCCTAGCTGAAAGATGGAATATGCTGAGAAATATAAGCAGCTAACCAATAGAGAGGAAGGCAGAATTGAGGTATGGACAGGAAAAAGTAGAATCTTGGTCATATTTCTTGATCCAGCTGTGCCTGAACCCAATGCTGGCCTCCAATATCCTGATTACCTAAGTCAGTGCCCTGCTTATCCTAACGTTATGCAAGTTGAGTGTTTATACCTGTGTTATTCCATTATGCTTATCATCCCCATTCTACAGACACCCAGAAAGATTAAGACCTTTGCTCAAGCTAACACAAGTGGGATGGAAATGGTGTGCCCTCAATTTGAGGATGGGCTGTTCTGACTCTACAGCTCATGTTGTTTCCGAAGCTTGAGTCAGCCTCAGTGAGTACAGCTGAGGGGTGATCTCAGCCCTCAACAGCAATAAGAGGTCAGGCATTGGTTCTCTTGTTTTACTAGCTCATGGGCTAGTAAATGACATTCGACACTTCAGGCTGGTGCACCAAGGGTCAGACAGGCTAAACATGGTCCTCAGATCCCATGCCTCATGCCTGGCTGCTGAGGAAATCCCTTTTGATTCTGGCTTCTCAATTTTCAGAAACCACTAACTGGCCTGGATCAGAAACCCTAAGAAGATGTCCTCAGCTTTGAGGTGATGAGACTTCCATCTCCACTTCCCGAAGCTTAGAACAAAAGACCAGGAGTTGTTCAAATGTGAGATAATAGTATTTTTAATATTTAGTTAACAAAACATGCAGGTTAATAGTCAATGCATATACAATAGGACAGAGCAACAATAACAACACAGTTACAAGGCACAACCTAACTCCATGGAGGCTTTCAAACAATGATGTGTTGGATAGAGAACGTGCTAATTAAAAATCCAGCTGAGACGTGCCTCAAGGCTGCACACCTGACCAGGGGCTTTCTGGTGGTAGGAAGGGGAGCCCATTGTGCCCATGGCTTTCAAGTCATTGAGAACCCTTTATAATCTCCATGCTCTATGTTGTTCAGTTGTCTTCCCCCATCCCTGCTTTTCCCCCCTTGGGCTGATTTATCTATTTATCCTTTATCCTATCTCAGACAATGAGTTCCATGAACACTCAATCTGAGATAAAGCAGGGTCTCTGAGTTTGTTTTGGCTGCTGGTGAACAAAATTCCATTCTGCTGAATGGGCTGTGATTTGGATTTCCCCAGACATAATCTGTCCAGTCTGAAGACCCCTATGAATATTCACCCAATTCCTTAGAGGCCACTTTTGTATGTACTATTGTTGTGAATACTATTTTTTCACCAAATAATAACCCAGTGGTGAGATTCCCCCATTGCCTGCTGCTTCCTTATTAGGTAATTTGAGAGAGTGCACTAATCTTTCTTTCCAGAGGGGCTATTCTGGCTCAGGTGTTGGAATAGAATTCTGATAGCCTAGAAGGAGCGTAGGCTTTCTGCAGCAGGCATGTGAACATGGGTAAGTTGTGTGGCTACAAAGAGCTTTCAGTTCCTGAACATCCAATGGTGCAATGATTGTAAGTGAATTTAATGAAGGGTAGAGCTCTACGAATAACAAGGGTAACCATAGGGCCAAGTAAGTGCTACTGTTAACTGACAGTGACCTCTGGCCATGCAAGAGTGGACATGTGTCACTTGGAAACATAATATTACATTCAGGGTCATCATCGTTTTCTTGTTTTTCATAGGAACTGATTTCAACTCACTCCCTAGGTTTCATCCTTTGGTTTTTACAGGGTTACACTGTATCTTGTGTAGTCTCAGTCCTTAGAGCTCAAAGGGAAACAAGATGAGTGAGCATTTCATGGAATCCAAACTTCAGGGTGATTTTACAAAGTCCATATTGACAATATCAAAGCAATTATTCTTTCTTTTTCTTCTCTTCATGTGCAGGGGTGAGGCTAATTCACAGAGACAGTGTATCATTTTACTAATATATTATTTATTCTAACTATATTTAGAATACCAAGTATATTCATATTACCCACAAATATTCTTTTCTCATTCTTTTAGGACAATTTCTGGCCTGTGACAGAAAGAGGCCCTGCAGTGGAGAGCCCAGGAGACCCCTGGGGGGCATCTGGCGGGAATTAGCAGATGCCAGCAAAAGCAGAAAGCGTTCTTCAAACTGAAATCACTTTGGTCCAGGTAATGCTCAAGATCACAGTGTAAGAAAACTCAGATAATGAGCTGGAGACATTACAAATATCTTTCCCCATCACCTCTTCTTTAATCAGTGTTTATTAGTAGCCAGGTTGGTGGGGGAGGTTAAAATCAAATAGCAGAAAATGGTGTCTTTTGATCAACTCTCCTTTTTTCTTTTCAGAATTGTTCTGGGGGATGAGTTGGGAAATAGATCATTGATGGGCTGTTGTCTGACAGGAATTCAAACTACATTCTATCATCAGATTAGGAAGGTTAAATTTAAAAAAAAGAAGAAATACAGAATTGGAAACTGTGAACTGTAGCCTCTAACTCCTATCTGATAACTCTGCTGTTTTTGTGATGGAGCACTAGAGGTGGAGACATGTGGCCCAGACCATCTGACCTCTTCACGGGTGAAATCAAGGTTTTTCTAACTTCCAACTGTGAGTCAAAAGCAATCAGGAGTCAAGGTAAAATCTCCCTGTTTGTGAGTGCACTCCAATTGGGGGGTTCTTCTGCCCATTCCGAGGTGTCTTGGAGTTACACGTAGTCATACTTGGAAGGATGAGATTGTACCTCGTCCTCTGTGCGAGCACCTCCATCATATATCTTCTTGTTTTTGCTGTTGGGCCCAAAGCCAGTGCTAGCCTTGAAGCCTCCGGGTTTGTAGCCGACATTGTGGCCTGAGGCATGATAAGACACGGCCTTGTAGCTGAGAGAAAAAGAAACATTCGGTGACCACAGATGTATTTGATAAGAGGGCAGCCCACTCTGTTTCCCCTGCAATGTCTCTGTTTTAGCCCGGAAAGTCCCAGGAAACCCTTAGCCCTGGGCAAACTTAGACAGTTGGTCACCCCCAGGCTTTGAGACACTGGCTTTTCTGCCTCTGCATTGGAGCAGAATTTCTTGCCTTGTATTAAGCTGGTAGTTGGTGACCAGTGGGTTTCCTGTTAATCAATTACAATGAAGCTCAACAAGAAAACAATTTTCCAGGGGAACACAATTAGGCCAAAAAAAAAAAAAATCACAGAATTTGTGAGCGTGAAGGTACCTACATGGAGCTCATCTCCTCTAACCTGCGCAGTTTATGGGTAAGCTGGCAGAGGCCCAGAGAAGGCGAGTGACTTGTTAGAAGCCACAGGACTAGTTAGCACCAGAACTGGACTGGGATCGAGGTCTCCCAGCTCTGGGCCCCTTTACAGGGTTACAGCAGGGTTTCTCTGCAGCAGTACTTTGGCATTTTGGAACGGATGCTTCTTTGTCGCCAGGGCCTGGCCTGTGCATGTTGCAAGGTTTAGCAGCATCCCTGCCCCCCACCCACTAGATGCCAGGATCACCCCACCCCACCCCAAAACTGCAATAATCAAAAGTGTTCATTTGTTGCCAAATATCCCCTGGAGGGCAGAATTGTTTTCCAGCTGAGAACCACTGAGTTCCAGAATACTGGAGTCAGAGGAAACCTGGATAGATATTTACTTCTCTCAAACAGGATCATTCCTAAATCTGCTCAGCTGAAATGCTCCTATTCTGTTCTTTAGGTCCCCCATAAAAGGATCCTTCAGTTAATAAAGCTCTTCCATAAACCCAGCCCGATCATTCTGGCTGAAAATTATACTTTAAAATGGACTCGGATGAAACGTCTGATTGCACTGAGGTGGAGAGACTCACGTGGTTTCCTCAGGCACCAGGCCCCGGCAGGCAATGCACATCATCACACCCCCAATTAGCGTGAGGCCTCCGGCGACCCAGCCCACGAACAGGGCCGAACCGAAGGTGTATCTGAGGGGAAAGTGAGGCCATGAGTGTGGGTGACTCCATTCTCAGACTCCATCCACTGCACCTGGCCATGCCCACGCCCCTCCTGAGCTCTGTCAGCCCTTCTGGGGGTTCCATACCTATCCCTGACCAAGCTGCTGAACGCTCCGGTGGGTCCCAGCCAACTGGATGAGGGACCCTGGAGAACAGAAGCAGAACTGAAGCTCGTCAGTAAAACAGCAGTGGGATTCTCAGGCCCCTGGCATCACTCAGGCATGGAATTAATTATAAGTCTCTACTCGCAGAGAAACATTTCTGGAAATCCGTCTCCCTCCCTATTGGCCTGGGGGAGGGGGTATCTTCAAGGTTTGGCAAGAGAAATTTGAGAGATATGGAAGCAGTCTGAAGTTATTATTTCTGAAGGAATTTTGGCCCCTCGAGTTCTTACTGTGGGTCAGTGAACTTGCATCTTACCTAACTCAAGTAGCCCTGGCGGCTGTCCATGGGGGTAGGAGCACTATCATCAGGAAGAACTAATGTGAAGTGACCATTCATTCTTTCATTTGTTTGCTCATTTGTTCGACAAGTATTTATTGAGCTCCCGCCGTGTGCCTGGCACCGCCCTGGCGCCGGGATGCAGGGGTGAATAAGACTTCACTTTCATGGTGCTTCTGCTCCAGCCCACACGAGAATTCAAACCTGTGGTGGTCTGACTCCAATGCTGGTGCCCTTCTCCTGTGAGGGGTGCCTCCCTGGGGCTCAATTACACCTGAGAAGGATTGTCTGAGAACAAAGTCTCCTGAGAATAGAATAAATTCTGATCCAACATGGACCTTTGTAGATGGTGGAGACAATGGCCAAAAACTTTTAGGATATCAGTGGGTATTTCCATTGATCAGAAAGTTACCAACTTTCCCTTCATCTCCAAGAGCCCCACAAAAAAGGATGGCTCAGCATGGAGGATACCTGCCCTTGGAGGTTTTCCCCTTGTGTTCATCAAAGAGCATGGGGCTGTTTGTGGAATACCATGAATCCCTAGTATGCTTAAAAATCACCAACTAAGAACATTATACCAATAGCTGGAAGACAGCAATATGTGTGCAGGCCTCCACAACCTAAGAAAACAAGATACTTTAGATATGCTTTAAAAGTACACACATTTTAGCAGGATCAAAGCAAGCAATATAAGCCTGATGACCAAGTGTAATGTAAAGGGTAAAGTTGGCAGACTGAGCTCAGGGCTTGATAAAGTTCTGGGAGTAGGCTTTTTTAAATTTCTTTTGGACTTGGAAAAGACATACATTTGTTTCAAGAGCTGTTGGCTTGGAATGAAGAACCCCATCCCAGCCTGTTGGCCCTCCCCTGCGTGGCCAGGGGCTTAACAGCTAACCTTTTCCTGGGCCTCCTCCCGAGGGGACTCTGGGTGAATTTCCTGGGGGCAGCCGCAATCCCTCTGCCCTGGTGCAGACAGAACCCCTGTCCTTGACACCCCTATAGATGGTCGAGTGACTGCGTAATGTTAATGATGACAACCATCACTACCATTTATTGAGCCCTTACTGACACTGTGATGGACACTTTTATCCCAATCTCATTATTTCTTCCAATGCCCCATTTTGCAGGATTTCTCACTCCCATTTTACAGTTGAGGGGATTGAGGCTCAGAAAGGCTAAGTAACTTTTCCAAAGACCCAGAAAGGACACAGGAGCTACTGAAATTCAAATGCAGATCCCTCTGCCTCCAAAGCATTCATAGCTCATCATTAAGCTAATACTATGTTTTGAAATATGCAGGAGGAAAACATGGGGACTGAGGTCTCCTTCGTTCATTTAGATTCTCTTGGTCAAGGTTAGCAAACTTAAATACCTACCTGGGACAGCTAAGAAATTTAAATGAATGAAGTGGGGAAACCCTCCACAAGCATAATGATAAATGGCCCCAGCGTTGGGATATTTGAGAGTGGTGGGGATAAACTGGAGAGGGTGAGCCCTTGCATCTGTTCTGCAGCTGCAGAGATTGTTGCCATAGAGAGTGAGGGCCCAGTACTGCCGGTTCTAACTTTTTTTTAACAAGAAGCTGGGAAAAATGGATTGCGTGTGTGCGTGTATGTGTGTGTGTGCGGGTATGTGTGTGGTGGGAAATAACCTTGTAGTAAACACTAACGGGGCTTTGCCCATGTCCCTTATGTCCCTTTCACCATTTCTGTGTCTCTTCTTCAGCTCCTGTGGCCTTTGCCTGCTAGCCCCCGTGCTTGACCCTGGAGGTCTGGCTCTGATTCAGCCACTGGAGCCAGTTTGCCCATGTGCACAGAGGCTAATTGGTGCTGAAGTATGAAAGTTGGGGAGTCAAAACAACTCTGAGGTATGCTTCATGCCCACAGCTCCCCAGGATAGGGCTGAGTTCCAGATTTCATTGCAATTACCCCCTTCCTGGTCCTGGGTGCCTCACTCCCCATGCAGTCTTCCCTTCCATAATATATTACTTGCACATGGAGCCTCAGAATCTGTTTTTCAGGATCTGTTTCTGAGCAACCCAACCTATGGCACTTCTAATTTTGAAAAAGTGGTAAATATTTCAGGTTATAAAAAGAAAATTTTAGGCTAATATAAAACACCTCCCAAGCTCTGAATAGCATGAAAGCAGGCACTCTGTAGCCTGGGTACACTTAACATGGCACTGGCAGAGGATGGGATGCTGGGACCAAATGGAGTACCAGAAAGCCCGTCAGTTGACTGTCAAGATCTTTCTTGGCAGCTGTGTTGTCTTGTGGGACTTCTGGGTAGAGAGGATGAGAAGACAGAAAGAAGGGGAAAACTTCAGGAGCAAGGCATTCAGGGGACATTCTAGAATCCTATAGTCTCAATCTCAGGACTGAAGTTGCCTGACCAAGGGATAGGGCAGGTTCTAGAAAGATGGTGTGATTTGTCCAAGAAGGAGGAATTTCCCAGAACATGGGACTTTCAGTGCTTAAACTGGTAAAGTCCCAGGAAAACCAAAATGGGTTGGTCAGCTTACTTCTAAGTTGCCCTTGTAACCAAGAGACCATGGGAAGATCACAGAAGAGGATGAGGGGAGCCTATAGGGATCACTTCCTTCTCATTCTTGAAACAATGCAGGAACATGGATGGAGACAGGAGTTCCAGGGAGCCAGAGAGTAATGGATTTATCATAACCTAAGCCCCTGTCTGTATTCCAGGATGGTTTGGCTGGGGAAATACCACCAAGTATATCCACTCCAGAGATGATGAGTCACTTAGATATGATATTTACATCACTGCCTCAGAACAAGATTTTTCTCCTTCAAGAATTTGCTGCTGTTCCTTGCTTTGAAAGATGTCCCTTTGAAGTGGCTAAATGAATATGGTTGTTAGAGTTGCTCTTCCATCGTTTAAAAGTTCTACCCTCCTTCTGACACCAAATTATAGAAGGGTTTCATCTCCCTCAGCTAGACTGTAACCTCTGTGCGGATGAGGACCTTGTCTTATCCCCAGGTCTCAGAACAGCTCCTGGCCCACAGCAGGTACTCTACACATTTTTAGAATGAGAAGAAGCAGCAGCTGTGCAAGGAAGAAACATCACATTAGTCTTCTCACCTATACTGTACTTTGCTCACCTCTACTCAAGCTTTTACCTGTCCCTAGTCAGGTTCCCGCCATGGCCTGGAGATGTGGGTTGATGCTCATTTACATGCCTGGGCTAATCGTGCCTGTTTCATTGCCACCACAATGGGGCCTGTGTACGCATGTTAGATAAATACTGTGAACTGTCATTGTATTTCAATGCAAATGTCAGCTCAGCCTCAAGTCATAGCACCAAGGATATTTCACTGAAATGAAGTTTATGAATTTACAGATCATTGTTGATTTACGATATGGCATGGTTGCTTCTGATAAATTTTTGCTATTTCAGGCACTGACAGTCACATTAGGCATATGTGTTTAATAGGATTTTTATAACAATAGTCGCCACCGAATACTAAGACTAGATTGGAAGCTTACCTGGTCTGAACAGTCTGCACCATCCCACCCAAGCCAGTGTACATGTTAGCTGTGGACATCCAGAAGTTAGTAACCAGCATGTTGGCAAACACAGATACTCCAGCGATTGCACAGAGACCTGCGGGCAAAAAACAAGAAAGCCCCAGAGTCAGCTGTAAAGGGATCACAGCGTTTTTGAGGCAATGTATACTGAAATGAGTTGAGATGAGTAGGGTGTATAATATTCCATTCCTATAACAGAATGGCTAATCCAAGCATTGATTGTTGAATTCCCACTATGTGCTAGGCATTATGTTAGACTCTGTTAGAGTGCTTAGATTCTCTTATCTAATTGTGGAAGGCTTTGTATGTGTGCAGAAAGAGATTTTCCATGCATCTTGGGACAAGGGATTAGTAATACAAGTATTTTGGGCCTGGTCCTTTGATGGTCTCAAGTATTCTTTCCTTAAAACCATTTTCAAGAATCTTGCCAAAATAATGTCTTTAGGGACTGAGTCACATGACTACCTTAGGATTGAGAATCTCTTATAATAAATAAGGCCAGGTGGCAGCTAAGGGGGACCTTAACATTCATGATCATTCTGTAGAGCATAATTGGGCCCTAGTCTCAGATCTTGAGTCCCAGTGTGTAAAGTTCTGATCCATGTTCAAACCATGCTCAGTAGGGAGAAGCCATGTTTCCTCTGCCAGATAATTTTACTTTGACCTTCCCAGAATCACATTAGAGAGAGGGACCCCTGGCTGCTTGTTTACCTGAGATGATGAACATGACCCCAGAGGTCAGTGTCATGTTGGCTTTGGCAGAGTCCTCCATGCTGCCTATGCGGATGCACTTCAGGGCGAAGATGGACACCAGGAGGCCGATGGCACCCAGGACAACGCCCACGATCATCAGGGCTCGCACTGCCTGCAGCATGGCTGTGGGACAAGAGGCATGACACAAGCAGATAGATAAGACCACCTCCACATGATTGATCAGCTTTAGTTTAATGAAATAAAGCAGCTAAAACCAGCCAGGATCAAATTCCTAAGAAATAACAAGTCCATAAACTGTGAACCTTGTCATTGCCAAGGGATGTGGAGTTGTGAGAAATGCAAAACCACTGTGTACAATCATCTGATTGTTGAAGGATCTGCACACAGTTGTCTGTCTCAGATCTTGAATGAGAAAATCATGGACTATAGGAGTGGTGACAAGCAAGAGATAGCTATTTCATTACCTCATTTTAATTTTTTTACATTTATTTATTATTGAGAGACAGAGAAAGACAGAGCATGAGCAGGGGAGGACCAGAAAGAGAAGGAGACAGAGAATCCAAAGCAGGCTCCAGGCTCTGAGCAAGCTGCCAGCAGAGGGCCCGATGCGGGTCTCAAACCCACAAACTGTGAGATCATAACTTAAGCTGAAGTCGGATGCTCAACCAACCGAGCCATCCAGGTGCCCCTCATTTCCTCATTTTAAAGCTTGATAAGCTGCGGACTAGGAAGAGGAAATGGCTTGACCAAGGCGACATGAAGAATTATTGATAGAGTTTATAGTAAAAGTGTGTGATTTTGGCTTCTAACCCAAACATCTTTCTCTTCTAGTCTAGGTGATATACCAAGGGCACCAAATTTTCGCCTCTTTCCAAAGGGACTGCTATAGTCAGGGTGAGCTGTAGGTTTTGGGGTATATATAACAGACTGCTATATCATTCACAGGCCTTCAACATGACCAGTTTATCAGCAGTTCCCTTCTCAGGAAGCCATGGAAGCTGTAGATCCTGCTGGGACTCTCTCCCAGTGCCTCCCCTCCAGATATATCCAAAGTGGTTTCTAGTGTGCCCTTAATGTGCACTGACATGTCTCAGCAGTTTTTTTCTGAGCCCCTACGACTAGGCACAAGGATGACAGTAATTAATAGGTCAACCATGGTCTCTGCACTCATGGATCTTATGTTGAAGTGGGGAAAGACAGTCATTAAACATGCCCACTATAAGCATAATGCATTTTACAGAAGAAAGACAAATGAGTCTTCGTGTTTTCCAGACAGAAAGGCCCCAAGTGTGGGTATTTCTGGTGGGGCAGAACTGAAGAATTGTATGAAGCAAAGCAGAAAGCTCTGTCTTACCCTAGTTATCATAGCCAATTGCTATTTTTGATTGAAAGCTATAAGTGGCTTTTCAGACATTAACAAATCCAATCCACACTTAAAAACCTCTGCAGTGTCTGTGATATGATTACCTTCATTTTATAATTGAAGAAATTGAGATAGGAAGGTTCAGGAACTTGCCCAAAGACATATTTCAAGGGACAAGAAAGAGCCAGGGGTCAAACCCAGAACTATCTCAAAATTGTTTTTCCCATTACAGTATATTGCTTTGAGGTACCTAATCCTGGAAAAACAGGTTGCCATTAGGGTTCAAGGATCTTTAAGCACCTAAGAGAATGTATCCTCCAAACTTGGAGACTCGGCAATGAAATATCATCCTTGGATGCTAAAAATGTATAAAGAAATATTCTCTAAAAATCATCTCAGGGAATAACCTGTCCCAGGAGATTTTATTTATGAATGTGACTCTCAAGACAAGGGAGTCCTGGGAGGAATTTCTCTCTAATCTCTCCAAGAACATTTTCATCTCAAATATGGCCAATATCAGTGGAGCTGCTAGGTTATTCACTCTAAGGTTGTGTATCACAAAACAACTTGTCATGATGGAAGAATTGGGAATCAATGAAGTATATTGAAAAAGGAGAGGCAGATATTGCAGAATTTATTGAAGATCCTTTGGCATTGTCTGAGGAATGGAGGTCATGGCAACTTTCTTTGGAGATGATGGTATCCGGTCACTCTAGTTCTATGCCACTTGATTCTGATTCTCTTCTCCCTGAATCACTTCTGATTTTAACTTTGCTTCTCTGCTGAGCAGAGAATCTATAAGCAGCTATATAATCAGGCTTGGTCCTATTAGCAACTATATTCTCAGGGTAAATATATTGGTTTATGGTGTAGATCAATCTTCCAGGATCTGACCATTCATTCCTGGAAGAATTGAATTGATTAACATTGGCATCTTGAGATTGCAGCTAAATTCTGATGGTAGAGTTGTGGTGACCCCAGTAGGGCAAAGAGAACCCATGAGGGCCTTGGAATGGCTCTTGGATCCACTCCTAACATAGGAGGGCCCTAGAGTGCCACATTTATTCTCTACAGCCTTGCTCAGTGGCTTTGCTGGCCCCACAAGATACTGGGAACCAACATTCTGTTCATTCCCTTATTAACGAATGCAAGTGTGTCATCTACTTGTGTGTTCATTTACATCTTTGTGTTTTCATCTAGCACATGTTGGTATATGCTCATAGTCATATGTTACATAACCATATAACTCATCCATGAATTCAGTCATTCATTCATCAAGTATTTTTAGGCTTAAATTCTCTACAAAATGCTTTGTCAGATGCTGTAGAAGGTACAGAAGTTCATGAAAAATAATCATTGCCTTCAAGCAGTTTAGAGCCTGGGAAGATCATATTTTTACCGGAAATCCTGAATCTCAAATTTCTTTTCACTTGGGGAGTATCTTGGCCAAGGCATAATACAACCACTTTCTCATAGTCACTCATGATGTGGTTCTAGTTCTCTTTAACATATACAATTAGACTACAAGCCTGGTTCAGGACAGGTATGGAGAGGATATTTGTGAGGCAGACCCAGACTTAAGGAAATATCCTCCAGGCTATACTAATGTGAATGTTACTACCAGAAAACTGAACACATGGGAAGAGGAAGGGGCTTGACGTTCTCTTCGTCTTGTCCTCATGGGATTCTTATGAACTTCAAATCCGCCCAGAAACCCGCTGGAGGTTTTAAAAACTGCTCTTGTTCTGACATTTTAAGCCTTAAGCTACTCAGAAAACACAATAATTTATCCCTTTTGAGAAACACCTGCAAGGCATCTGGTTAAAACAACCAAAACCAACCAACGAACCAACCAACCAAACCAACCAAAACCAACCAACCACTAACCAACCAACCAACCAACCAAAGCAACCAACCAACTATCCAACCAACCAACCAAACAAACAAACAGAAACCAAATAAACAATATTAACTAAGTAGGATAAAGGATGTCTTTTCCTCATTCTATAAAAAATTACATTTCTTCTGGATTCTCAGCAAGGGTGGGGTCATCTACTCTTTAGTCTTAGTAGTTTTAATGTTTGTTCCTGAAAACATATCACAGGGTGGCTGTGGCTGAGGCACATGGTCTTTCCGGACATTGCTGGATTAGAAGGGCTGCGAGGCTGGCAGTGGACTTGCCTCGTGAGAGGACTTGTTGCTGTTGTGTCACAGGAGCCCTTGGGCACTGGAGCCCAGGCCAGCCTGTCCTGCTCAGCCTTTGCCTCAGGCTCTCAGGTGCCCTCTTGTCTCTGCTGAGCCAGGTATCCTTCCTGCTCTCTCTTGACCTCTGGATTTCTGATGAACACTGGTACCTGCTTTGAATCAGGAGCCTACCCTTACCCTGAGCACCTTTCTCTTAGCCTGTGGTTGGAAAAGACACAACATTGTTTTATATCTAGTGGGACCACTGTCACAGTCACAATCCTGGGCCTGGGTGCATAGACCAAGTTCTTCCTTGCTTTGAAGATCCCTTGAGGGGTGTTTCTGAGAGTGGGAGCTATGATGGGGGCAGGTTCCATGAAGTAGGAGGAAATGTTCTCTACCACTCATTGCTAGAACTCCCCTATGTCTTGATGACCATGGAGATGCATGGGGGTGACCCGAACTTTCTTTCCGGCTGGAAGATTCTACCATCTGGGAGTCTAATCCTTTATAGATAGGTACCCAGAGAAACTTCTCTCAAAGGGGATAGGTTTCTCTTTTGGCCACTCTGTCTCTTATTTGCTATTCTGAGCAAGAGGCACATAAGCTTATCAGCTGATAACAGGTGAGTCAACGGCTCTATAGACTGATTCCCTGCGCCAAAGGTGTGACTACAGCATTCTTTCCAATAAACAATGAGGCATTATCAGGCTTGAAGGGTGGGCAGGATTCAGGGCTTACAGAAGCAAACAGAAAAATGGGAACTCAGTGTTCCCTCCCTGTTGCAAAATATCTTATTCCCCCAAACCAGCTATGGACTGACAGGCAGGTGCCTTTGGGTGTGGTTCCCAACCCTGGTTGCACCTTAGCATCTCTTGGGGGAGCTTTTAAAGAAATATTAATGTTTTTGTCTCCACCCCTAGAGATTTTCATTAAATTGTTCAATAACATAAGATTTCAAGGAATAATTTGGGAAAATAGCTCTCAAGAGGCTCATGAGGAGGTGCTTAGAGTGAGGAGTTGAGAGGAAAGAATTCCCAGGGGTTGACATCCCTGAGCTAGCTGGGGTGTGGGGGTTGGGCTTATGAGACAGAAAATCACCAGGAGCCAAAGGCCAGGACCTGAGGCTTTTATTGGTGGAGGTTAAAGAGGATTCATACCTCAGGCACAGCTTGGCCTCAGATTGGAGGCAGGGGAGGCTGATGGAGGAGTCCAAAGGAGGGGAGCCCAGAGGAGGGAAGTCTGAGGCCAGACCTCAGAGAAAAGGCCCTTCAGAACAAGGGTGGGAGGGCCTAGTTTCTCCTGAGATCTCAGGGAACCAATATGGAAGTCCTTTGTGTCCCATGAAATCCTACAGAACAATGTGACGCCAGGTAGGTGTCATTAGGCAAATCTTTTAACCTCACTGAAGCTGAGTTCCTCAACCTAGAAGCTGGATAGAGATATCTTTTGCATAAAGATATTGTGAGGACCAGATGCTACTTGGTGCTAGCATAAAACTAAGCTGGGCTCATCCAATGTCAGTTTCCTCCCTTTCCCTAAAAAGTTCTCTCTCTTCAACCCCACATGGTGTTGGCTTGTACTAACTGTATAAACCTGAATCCTCTCACACGGT